AAAAATACTTTAAATTTATATAATAAAATTAAAAATCTTTATTAATATATTAAAATTTATAAAATAAATAAAAATAATTTTATTAAAATAATTAAATAAAACTATTTAATTTAATTAATTTAATTAATCTAAATCTAATTAATTTAATATTTCTAATAAACCTTATATAAAAAAGTTTAAAAAACTTAAATTAGAAAAATAATTAAAATAATTAATTAATCTATTTATTAAATAAATTTTAATATTATTTAATTTTAATTAAGATATTCTTAGTTATCTATATAAAGAAAAATTAGATCTAGATATTATTATAAAGTTAAAAAGTAAAAGATTAAAATAATAGATATTCCTAGTACCTAAGACTAGATTACTATAGTTATCTATAGCTATTTAAAGGAATAAATAGTATAAAGGAAGGGTTCTAGGAGATAGTATTAATAGAAATACTTTAAAGCTTTTAAAATACAGTAGAAGGCTTCTGACTTCTATCTTTCTCAAGTCACATTAGTTCATGCACCATCTGTGAAAATAGCCACCTCGTCATACCGTGTTATTTTGCGTGGCAAGTATCCTCCTCCTCCAGTAATCTATGCAGTACGTAAGAGAAATCGAGTATAACGTTAAAAATAGCAATGCAGAATGCCAGAGCCCGATATCTCAACACAACGAATACGTTAATTCTAAACATGTAAACACAATGGAAGAGAGCACAGTAGGAGAACCTATGTAGTAAGTAGCAATATAAGCGATCCTACCGATGAGCATACGATAGCTTCAGCGACCAAGACACCAACCAGAGGTATGTGTTGGCTGTTTTTTGCAGCGATAGTTATCAGGTCTTCTCCTTCTTAATCTTCGCCACAGGGCAGTTTGCAAGGGAAACCAGGTTCGCTAATTCTGTATTCAAATGGAAGCATCCGTGAATTACATTTCGCTTGATATGAATAATCTCCTTTCAAGCATTCATGTTGGCTAACTTCTTTTGAACATTCTGCTAAGAATATTGCCCGGCTTCGAGGATGATGAGTGCTGAGGATCATTTGCTTTGGTCTGCTTATGCTGACCTATTAGACTTGCAACATCATTAAACCCTCCACGTGACGCTTTTGTCAACGGAGTCTCTCCTTTGTTATCAGGGAAATCTTTGTCTGCCCCATATGAAAGAAGAAGCTCGGTCAATTCCAAATCTCCCCTGGACGCTGCTGAATTCAAAGGCGTATCTCCATTCTTGTCGGGAATGTTCAGGGCAAGTGGCTCCTCCTCATAGAGAAATTCCACGGCTTCTACAGAACCGGCAACAACTGCGGAATGGAGGGGCGTGCGTCCGGCCAAGTTTGTATTTTGGAGACTGAACTCTTTCTTCTTCAGCTTCTTCTCGCATATCTGAAGAATCATCACGACAGCTTCAACATGCCCACTACTCGCTGCTATATCCAGAGGCGTTGAGCCATCGCAGTTGCGGATTGAATATTTGGTAGGAGACAGGGACAGTGTTCCAAGCATCTCTGCAGATCCTTGCTCTGCCGCGAAGTGCAAGGCGGTCCATCCGTTGTTATCTTGTAGCCCTTTTCGCGGGCCCAAAGACCATAATGCCTTAGCCATCTCCAAGTCGTTATTCTTGGCCGCTATCATCAACGGGGTGGCGCCTGAATTGTCCGCAAGGTAGGCGAACGCGTCGTGGTCGTGGCCAAGCATCTTGACCATGCCTACATCCCTGTTGAGAGCAGCAATTATCATCGGCGTCCGACCTTGGCTGTCAACGGAGTCTTCTTTGGCACCCTTGCGTATGATCAGATCCTTCACGGCAGCAATGTCGCCGCTCCTGACAGCATCGTGAAGAGCCGCTGTCAGTGCAGCTTCTGCTGCTTTCGGGTCCGTGCTGTTGGTTGCGGCTGCACCACCTCTACATTCATTAGGCTCTGATCTGGTGGGGAAAGTAGCAATGATTGATGGGCCTCTTACCTGGTGTTGGGATTGTCTTGACTCATTAGAGAGTCGCGTTCATGGGAATCTACCAAACGCTGTTGATATAGATAATGAATGGAAAAGCCGACATGAGAAACAGCCAAGAAAAAGCCGCGCTAATCTAGTTCTTCTTTGCCTACAAAGATATCAATTTTAAAAATTAGAAATCAGGGCGTAGATCGTCCGGCTTGACGAATTTCCCTGTTCGACCATGCGCCGAGTTCAAAAGCCAGTAAAATCTGCGGCAACCCCACGTGCTCGCAGGCATCAGATTTCGGAAGCAGGGCTTTCGACGGTGTGTTTTCTCGCCAAAATATACCGGCTTCCTGTCTAGTTGCTCTTCACATCAGCGGTGCGAGAAGGCCAAGACCATCTTGAGGCTTTCAAACAACATATATCTCATTGAGCAAGGGAGGATGGCCCATTCCGCGCTTGGCTGGGCTACTTAGTGTGTCTGTCAAGCGGGTGTCAGAATAACAACGACTGCAGAAGCGTTTTCTTCTCAACTTCCGTGCGCAAACTATAATCATAATAATAATAATGGATAAAGGTGCATAAGATAATAAGTCATTGAGTAATTATTAGATAGTATGATCTCAAATATCTGTAAGATGGAACAGTTGTTAACACCACGGGGAGCATTGTATGGCTGCCACAATAACGTATGGCTACCTACCACAATAATATATAGCTGCCACAATAATTTTTCCAACCTGACTCTACAATTCTTTTTCATATCACGGTCAACTTACGTGTTTACAGACCCCTCGCATCGATGGCGATGTGGCAACCGAGTCACTTAGTTTGCGACATCCAAGTTATTGCGAACGAGAACTCGAGCATAAAGTTAAACAAGACTAGAAGATACCAGACCTGACATCTCAGCAATGAATCATCTCCACCTACTTAACCTCGAGTCTAAACGGCATTATCAGGTTGTTGAGGACATAATAAGGGATAAAAACACTTTGTGAATTGTACTCTTCTACATATTTTGCTAGCTAGAATCCTAGGTTCCGATCCGTTGCGATATATCAGAAGATATCGCACATTCACAACCCTCATGGAGATCAAACGCAGTCCGACCGTCGTCTATTCTGAGGCTTGTGTCGATTCCAGGATGATCAAGCAGCAGATTCGCCAAATTTCGGCTGCAGCTGACCATGGCCATGTGCAACGCTGTCCATCCTTGCTTAGTGGTTACGTTAACATCAATCTCGGGGCGTTCAAGTAACAATTTTGTTATCGGCTCATTAGTATCGTTCACGGCGACATGAAGCGGTGCCCAACCTTCCTCATCCTGGACGTTGATGATCCGTGCACCGTCAGTTGAGCAAGCTAGTATCTTTTGTACAATCTCCATACTGCTGTTTCTGGCTGCCCACCAAAGACAAGTTCTTCCCAGCCCATTTTTAACGTAGTGGTCGGCCCTTGGGTGCTCGTAGATCATGCTGAAGATCCTTTCATGGCCCGATTCAGCTGCAACTAGGAGAGGTGTCGTCGTGTCTGCAAAATTACCCGAGCACAAATAACCTCTGAAAGCCGGTTGCTGCGAAAGTTGGTAGTTCTGATAGTTGTATCCGCGTCTCAATTTATGCCTCATCTCGACGCGCCTGGTATCACTTTCACGGTAATTTGGGTCGACTTCTTCATAACACAGAATTTCTTCGACAGCAGAATCCTTGCCGTCTTTCGCTGATATCCACAGCATTTGTTGCAGAGCATCCCTTTTCCCGCTTCGAAATTTGGGGATGTTGTAATAACTCCGCAGCACTCGCATCTCGAGCCATTCTTGTCCCTCGGATGCGTAGTAGAGCTTCTTCCACTGATCCCAAACATTAGAGTCGGTCTCCAAAGCTTTTTCGACGAGGAGCTGAAAGATTGTCGGGTCGGCATGTCTCAATGCTATATGTGCGAGCGATTCGTCGCCTATTCTGCACACAAGGTCGACCTCAAATCGTAGCAGCAGACGAACGATTTCCGTATTTTCTCTTTGCACAGCCTTTTCCAGCGGCGTCCAGCCGTAGGACTTATCAGCTTCAATGCCTGGGACATCTAGGAGCATTCGAACCAGTGGAGTAAAGCCTGTGGAGACTACCACGCCCAGCGCTGTGTTCCAGTCAAAGACTTTATTGATATCGATGGCATCGCCAAATCGGTCCAGGAAGACTCGTACAATCCTGGTTGCGCCGGACCTTAGAGCAACCCGCCAGGGGCAATTCTTATGTAGACCAAATTGTGATGGGTCAATGGCAACTCTGTCCAGGAGCAGACACGCAATATCTTTGTGATCCTCTTTTGCTGCCGCAGCCAGGGGCGTTTCAAACAGATCATTAGCGATGTTCGGATCGATATCGTCCCTTTGGAGGAGTGATCGGACAATGTCCGTCCATCCTTCGCGAGCAGCCCAGCCAAGCGTGGTGTCGCTGGATCTTTCAGGTGCGGTGTCGCTGGATCTTCCTCGCGCGTTAATGTTTATGCTAGTCGAAAGGTCCAAGATGGCCCTGACTGCTGCCTCTCGGTTCATCTCAGCAGCATACACCAGGGTTCCTATCTTTTCGCCCTCGACAGTAACGATGCGAGGATCGAGTCCGTACTGCAGAAAGGTGCGGATTACAGCCACTTGGTCCAATGCGATGGCGCAACCCATGAGGTCACCAAAGACGGGATGGGTAGCAACCGAGTCTACCGCCTTGATGTTGGCCAATTCCTTCATAACCGATTCGACGGCTACTCCATCCCCGCAGGCCACCAGAAGATGCAGCATCCCGTAGAATGTGTCAGGGTTCTGCACCTTCTGACCGCGAGTGTAGACTTCCAAACTAGATAAGGATTGTGGTAGAGGATGTCCAGACTTCCAGGTGACAAGGTGTTCAACCACCCACGACGCCTCATTCACAGCCACGATGAGTCGGCAAGCCGCGACAACGGCAGCATCCAGCGTAATCTCTGGGATCAGGCCCCTGCCGACCACATGCTTAGCAGCGTCGTGCACGAATGCAAAGATACCTTGCTCGCATGTTTCATGTTGGATTCTCGCCTTTGTGGCCAGCATCCACTCAATGCTTGTCCGATAGTGTAACCTAGGACCTATATCGAGCTCGTTCAAGCTGGAATTCTGCAGGGTGACGCGTGATACGTGATCGTCGAATTCGCCTATTCTCAGCATTAGAGGAGGCGAGGAGGGGGAACGGGAGGAGGGGCGGGAGGAGGAACGGGAGGAGGGACGGGAGGAGGAACGGGAGGAGGGACGGGAGGAGGAACGGGAGGAGGGACGGGAGGGGCAGTGGCTAGGCACTTACGGCAAACGAATCGTAATTTAACGAACTTGCGCTTTGAGTCGATTTGGATATGTTGTAAAATTTGAGCGATTAGCTCGTTGGGGAGCGCGAGGAGAGACATGGCGATGTGTTTGTCAAGAAGTATCATTCGAGCTGAGAAGGAGGGTGTGAGTGGTATTTGTAGTGAAATTCCTCACATCCAAGCTGCTGGCGGGGTGTTAATGTCTTTTACTTATACCACCGGGTGACTTTGAGTTTGAAATACACAAACATTAAACTGCTTCTTCTCGAGCTTGCGATCGGTATTGTCAAATTAATAAGTACGCATAAAAAATACATAGAGACAATATTATGATTTATTGTTCTATTGTTTGTTTTTGATCGCTCTGAACAATAGATAGATAGGTATCCCAACACCAGGTTACGTGAGTCACTACCCTACCGTGCCTAGATTACACACAATCTTTCCAACACATTTCGCGGTTTCTATCGAAGTCTATCGAAACTTTCACACGTAAGGAAAACTCAAAATTTCCAACACAAACATCCCGGGGCACAAGCATCAACGCCTCCCCAGAATAACCTCAATAGCTCGGCACATTTCAATTATTCATCCCCCTTTCAATCACATAAATATTCACGCCACTCTCATGAATCCAGACCCAATCACTCCATTCGAACAGATCCCGAGCCTCACAGGCTGTGGCTTCAGTGGATACTAACCCTACGACAATATTCATCGAGCCAGAGGAGCTACCAATGATCCAATTTACTGCGCCGCAAGCTCTCGTTGAGAGTATCAGCAAATTCACAGGCGATGCTTTCTACTTTAAAGGCAAAAGAGGAGTCTCCATCTCATACATCTTACATATCCCTAATATTCTTAATTCGCTGGGTGTAAATACCGTTTGCTTTGAAATCCTCTGGGAGTTTAGAAGTTCTAGAAGTATCCATTTGAGTGCTACTACCTCACCAACGACTTATTAATCATCACCATCCCTACTTACACCCATGAGTTCATACGTGCCAACTTAAGTCGGCGTATTGTTAACCGAATATACTACCGGAGGAGATATAGCTTGAACGTTAAAACAAAGAAGATATCAGACCCAACAAACTCAATATAATGAATACAAAAGGTTAATAAAGGAAGCTTTGCTAGCCCAAGGCTGCAGTTATCCAGCAGAAAATTCTTTAAGCCTTCATGCCGATGACTCGATGACTCACTTGCCGTCAGGACGAGCTGCGCGTCAAATGACTATTAAAGCTGCCCTCGTCAGAAGAGGTTAGCCTTGATAAAAAAAGCTTCTTAACCTTTACCCAGCGAGATACAACACAGTGAGGGAACCGAATATACTACTGGATTCCATTTGATCTTGACGAGTCAAAGGAGGACCCTGTACAACCGACATGACCATGAATCTTGCAATGGGCCGCAGGTTCAACCTCCCACGCCTTTAGCGTGGAGACCCGTTGCAATACAACAGGTTAGTCACATAACCTGAGGATTAATCAATAGACGCAGCCAAAGGCGGTTCAAGCAGACGATTAGCGATGTTCGGATCGATATCGTCCGTTTGGAGGAGTAACCTCATGTCATTCACGGCGCTTTGGTCTACTTAATCGACCAAGGGCTGAGCTTGGCCTACCGAGCCAGACTCCGTAGCCGTAGCAATGGCAGTTTGCGTCGGTTCGAACGCTAAGATGTCACCCTCCGCCAGTCTATGGGCCACCTCGGCACTGACTCGTACCCAAGACCCTAATCGAACGAGGGTTTTGGATAAGCGGCGGGGCGGGTTATTGATCATTGCTGTGCTCGGACGAGCGCTGGACAGGTGACCAAGCGACGGGTTAGGTCGCGTATGCGCGACAGTCTTGCGCCTGTAAAGACTCCAAAGAGACTATATCTATCCGAAACTGTATCAGCTTAGTCTACTGCGTTGATATTGGGCTGTTTCCTTATGCCCGAAAGGCCCGAATTGGTATCCAAAGACTGATGGCTGTGCTTATTGCTCAGTAAAATACTTTGTTGGTGACAGGAGACATGAGACACTCAACTAATAAGCAATTATAGACAAAACGTAATTTGCAATCACCAGAATAGCAGAGCAGAAAAAATTATATGATTCGATAATATAGTGTGTTTCGTGGATGGCTATTGATCAATAGTCTGGAGTGATAACAATACTCAATATAGCGCCAAAAATGCAACAGGACTAAGTCTCATATCTTCTATCACTCGGCTGCCCATCTACCAAATTTCTCTTTAAATCCAAGAATTACTATACATTGAGCAACGGTAGGGATCAATGAATAGATGACGGTTTGACAACGTACCTTCTCTTTTAAATATGATGATAAAGCACACCAAGTCAATCAAGCGAATGATAGTCGTAGTAAGGGCATAAAAATCACAACTGAGCAAATCTTGGTTCTCTTTTTGTTCATTTAAAAATTGGAAACTCTTTTTGATCCCGAAGCTCCAGATATTTGGGGCTGGCTTTTGTGGCGACTGGTCATCATTACATGAACCAGTCAGGGATTTTGAAAACACCATCTCCACAGAAGAGAAAGCATGGCATTGATCAAATCCCACGCGATTAACAGTCAGTTTTACCCTTGTCTCTTACTTTTCCATTTGCCACTCCTACCATGGCGAGTCGGCAGTATTAATGTTCCTTGAGCTCCAAGTTCTTATCATAAGCTCTTCAAACGTCCGGTTCAACAGATCACCAATTGAGAATCATAATATAATCGGACCTTCAAATCATAGCAGACACAAAGTGCAAACGCATTCTCACTTAGAACACGAATTTTGACGCCCAGAAACACCCAGATGTCTCCTAGTATCTCTCAGAATTTGCACCACTTGTGGAAATGGAGGCATGGAACGGGCTCGAGGCCCGAGTAACACGGCAAGGATCTATATTCTTCATTAAGGGCTCTTACACGAAAACGTCAATGCTCCGAGGTGGTTCAGCACTCTATAGGGTAAGTAGAGTTCTCGAAGCAAGCCAGACTTGATCATTTACCATTTGTCAAATGCGATAAAATTTTTGGTTTCATCCCTTGGCTATCATGCAGGAATATTTGATCCCAAACTTATTAATCGCCGTAGTCCAGTGTTGGAGTAAAGCTATTGCTGATAGAGGCAATTCGTTGTACGCCGGAAAAGGAACAGTGCCGAAAGCGTCAAACCGAGGGCTGCGAGACACAAGCGTTTGGAAGCATGGGAGAAACGTGTGCGGCAGTTGAAAAGCGAATCTTGCCGTGAAAATCACCGCAAACGGAATCAAGGAAATATTATTTGGATATCATAATGGTCATCAGCCTTTATTGGCGTAGGTGAGTCTAATGGCCGAAATGCTGCCACCGCGGCCGAGGACAAACCTTTATACGAACATTTTGAAAGCAGCTGAGAATGGGTCACGGGATGAACAGAATGGCGGATTGGGCCAAATTTTGTCGTAACGTGGAAGTTATGCACTGTTCTGACGCGTCACCTACAAGTATAAGATGACTTCTCTCCCCAAGCCAGTGCCAAAAGTCAGAACATCACATCGAACAGTAATCTCCAGCATTATCAAAATTCCTTTCCCGCCTTCCAATTCAAAGTTTTGATCCAAGACACCTCCAATATGAAGCCTGCCGCCGTCATCCTCGCCGTTTTTGCCGCCTCGGTTGCCGCCGTGCCGGTCGGCGATAAGGTCGAGAAACGTCAAGCAGTGAATTTGTTCTCTATTTTGGAGAATCTGCTAGTGAGTGGCAAGAGGCCCTACAATCAGGCAATCTAATTACTAACAAGTCCTTAGCATATCAAGACCTGTACGGGACAGAAGTTTGGCGATTGTCCAAAAAAGCTCCCTTACATTGGCAAACGTTACATTAGCGAGCGTAAGAGCGTCCCCCGCGAGGACATTGTCAGCGTAGACACTAATGCCTTGATGGGCGCTCGCGGGTTGTAAGATGATGGATCAAACGATGGATGGGACTGTCGCAATGGATATGGAGTCGTCAAATAGTCAATTACGTGTGGATGAGCAAGGGTACTAGACTTATACTTTTGTACATCAATACAAGCCATTTGACTCTTTAAATTCATCAATTGCCTCGTAACCCCCATAATTTGGGCTCCTGTTCTCCCCCTGTTCCCCTCCCTTCACTGCTATTTGATGCAAGGGAGAAGTTCCAAAAGTTGAGTGGGTGAATTATCCCCGGAAACAGCTAATCACAAACCTCGGACCGAGCCTTGTTCCGCTCTGAGCGATGACTAATACCCAATTTTACCTCCTTTTCACCAATCTTCTGTGACCATGGTCTAAGACATTGCACTGCAATTGTCGTGCGGGACTTCATTGCAATTTTGACCCAGACCGAACCGCTGTCATTCTAGTCAATGACCGGTCCTCGGAAAATTGGCTGGTATGAACACTGCTCCGGGTGTCTCTGGCCATCCAGAGGGCACCATCCATCAAGGAGCCCCAAACGCGGGGCATGCGGGCGAACATGATGAAGCTCAGTCGGACGTCCAACCACTGAAATCTGCCATCGCAAGGGGGCAGAGTGACCAGAACGAAATGGATGAATTAAACGGCCATTTCAGTGAGTCTCCCATTGGCAAACTTACTCTTCAGTTTGATCACTACCCCCTTTCTGAAACCGCTCTGATGCCAAACCCCCATCCTCACCGCTGAACATCAAAAAGCTAACCGCAGCAGGTGATGCCACGCGCATCCACTCAGAACTTCCCGATCAGGCTACAATGCACCCTGAGAGACACATCAGGGCCGTAGCAACCGCCATGAAGTCTCACGGGCCCTTCCTCCTGGTAGACGTGGGCTCCGGCGTCTCCTTCTACAAGGTCTCGGACGGCTCGACGTGGGAACGCGTCGGCGGCACCACTCTCGGAGGCGCCAGCCTCATGGGCCTCGTCGCCCTGCTCACCAAGGCCAGGAGCCCAGAGGAGATGCTGGAGCTGGCGGAGCAGGGGCAGAACTCCAAGGTGGACAAGCTCATCGGAGACATTTACGGGAGCGACTACATGGGCATCGGTCTGCGGAAGACGGCCGTCGCTGCCACCTTTGGCAACGTGTTTGGGATCCTAGGCCGGGCCGAGAGGGAGGGCAAGACGCAGCCGGCGGGTGAGGAGTTGTTCAAGGACGCTGATATCTGCCGGTCCATGCTCATGGCCGTTTTCAACAACATTGCCATGCTTTCCTGCATGCAGTGCGAAAATTTAGGTCTATTGACCATTTGCCTCCAGGGCTCCTATCTGTGGGATTCCAACAGGGTTCTGCAGATCTTGGCCACGTCGATTGAATTTTACTCAAAAGCAAAGGCTAAGGCGTACATGTACACCAAGGATGGGAATCTTCGGCCGATAGAAGGATACTCTACTTTAGGACAGTAAAAGAATGGCTTGGGATTGTGATAGAGCCTTGAAACAAGCGCTATTGATTCAAAAGCAGTGATTTGGGAGTTGTGTTTTTCCAGATAGAGATTTTAGACATACACACATAGCTCATGAATGGATTCCAGGTCTTCTTCCCCTATGTAACGCAGACTCCGTTGTATAATTTCGCTGTAATGGGCAAGCTCAGAAATAAAAACATCCATCATTCGTTAGCAAAGAGACAATAATGCCACCTAGTCTATAAACAAAACAAAAAAAAGGAAAGAAAAAAAATGCGAGAGAATCGAGAAAAAAGAGACGAGGTGAGAGTGTAATCCACAGAAAAGTCTACACAAACTCATCACCCCTATCCGGTCGGTCTGGTCTGTCCCTCTCCATAGACCTGTCGCGGCTCGAAAAGAGAACCTCATTTGTTTCGAAGTCCTCCATGAGGATCTGCTCCCCCTGCTGCAACTTCTGGTACCGGCCCTTCGAGTAATATCGCCTGACTCCTTTGGTGATGGCGACCTTAACTCCCACTCCCATCAGGAAGATGAGAATCACCACGAACACGAACGTCACCCATCCTCTCCAGCCCTCGAGAGCCAAAGGGTAGGCCGTCATGAAAAGACCCGCAGAGAACTCAATCCAGGTCTTTTTCGGTCTGCGGTTGGGGTATATCTCTTTCCGGACTATCTGTTTGTACTTGGGCCCTTGCGGGCCATCCAAGAAGCGCCGGAACCCAAATTTGGGTACGTGGTCCTGACGAGGGTCCGAGTCAGAAAGCTGATCGTCTCCCCAGATTCCATCGTAGTAGAATAATGAAGTGTAGTTGTGTGCGGGTGGTCCTGAATTCTTCTTATCAGGAGCATTTAGCGTCGTGACTGTCTCGTTGCTTTTATGATACTTGAAAAAGTATGCCGACAGGACAGGGTCCCATTTCTTGCCCTTGTCACACCAATCGACCAAGGCGACATCATGGATGTTGTCACTGGGGTTACTGGTTAGTAGGGTGCATCAAGTGTGGAAGGCAGACGAGTGGTTCATACCCAGGCTTAGCATAATTCGCGTGTGAACCACGGGCGCTATATACAGTTGGCTGTTGAAAGAGTTAGATATCTGAGGCAAGGCAAAGCAATATCCCAGTTTAGGAGAAGGCTTACTCTGCCATCAGTGACGGTGAGCTCGGGGTCTCCCCATTGATAAGCGGCGCCGTCTCTGTGCTGGCTATACCAAATTCCAACAGGTTTTCCATCCTTGAAGCGGATCATATTGTGTTCCCTAGCGAGACATAGCGGTCAGCAATCAGAGTCATCCTTCTACAATCACGAAGTGAGGGTCTCACCAGTCTCCGACGTGGTTGCCAAAATGCATGCCTTGGCCGACCTTGCCTCCCTTCACTATGCGCTCCAGAGGGTGCAAGACCTGTGTGATGTTCGGGCCTTGATCGAAGGAGTAGAAATAAAAGTAAAAGGCATCAACATCATTAAAGGGGTTATCGACGAGAATGACGACGCAAGGCGTGGCGTCGTGAATGCGACCGTCCTTGTCCGGCGCCGTACCGCGCATCCAGGCCGGGTTGGACAGCGGATCATCATTTGAAGCGAGCGCGACATCTCTGTAGTTGTTCAAGAGGTCCAGGTTGTCCAGGTTAAGCGAAGGGAGCTTGTCTTTGATGAGCTTCCCGTCAATCTTGGGTGTTGTGTGCTGCACATGCGTGAGGAGATCACTGGGTAAGTACGGATCATCCGAATGCAGCCACACGATGGGCGCTTTTTGAGCGAATTAGATTCCTGCGTATATTTCTCTTCTTGGGTCGTGAGGACATACCGTGCTTGGCCACATAATCGGGGACATCGTAACTGGCGGAGCAGCATGCGAAATTAAGCAGGCTGGCCAGGACGAGCAGCCAGCTAGCTGAAATCAATCGTGCGGACATTGCGCCCCAAGAAAATTCATCAGGACTCGTTCACGGGCGCGCTCATTGCATCTGAAAGGGGTATCTGCCTCGGTGGGAGCAATGATGAGTCGATCGCGCTCACTGATGCTGGCCTCAACGTGCTGCGCCGTGTCTTTTCGTGTCGTGTTCAGCGCATAAAAGAGCTTAATCAGCAGCTTTACAATGCCCTACGGAAGAATCGGGCTCACTCACTACTGGAAATCAGTGCCCATTCTTCTCAAGTTTTGGTCGGATCCTTCAGCTTCACCCCTGAGCCTTCCAAGCCAGTCCAGTGTTTCTAAATAAAGAGTGAAACTCCACTGCCTCTCCACTGGAAAATGGGGGTGTTAAAATTACTCAGTCTTGCTCTTGAAGTGTCTCTTGGTGCTACGCTGTCTGACACCTTAGTAAGATAAATGGATTCATGTCTCTTTGCCCAATTGAAAGCCGCCGAGGGCAAATATCAGCTAAAAATAGATCACCTACTGGAGAAACTTACCCTTCGTTTTATCCCTACCCTACACCTCTGCACCAGTTGACGATGATCAAAGTGTTGGGATGATATGTATAACTATAGCCCTAGTGAATATTAAATATCGCACAGTCTCTAAGTTTTCTACATGAACTTTACAACACTTATATCCCTACTGTTATCTGTCAAGTCAATGTCAAACACAGTTAAGCTAGCTTCCAAGCCCGAGTGATGATTTAGTCGGCATATGAGCCCCTTGTCCTGACTGCGACAAAGACAGTCACTTCAGTAACCAATTATTATTTTCGTTCAAATGATCTTTTCTAGATCCTTGAGAATACAAAAATAACTAGATCCTATGATCCCCACAAAGTATCATCAAACTTTCCGATGAGCTACTCGTGTACTAGGCTTTCTCCTTGTCATCCCCTGCTGTGCTCTGAGACCTTGCAGCTTCTACCCCTTCTATCGAGCTCTGGGATCGGGCCATCGTACTTCTAGCTGGAAAGATTTTCATAAGAAGAAAATAAGAGACTAGTGACGTGATAAATCCAAAGAGCCAGCTGATACTGTACAAATGTCGTAGGCCGATGTCGATCGACACGCTCGATGGGCTCACAACCCTGGCCAACCCTGGAAGTAGGGGGATAAAGACAGAGAAGAAGACCACAAATGCCCTCCAGTTGACACCAAACTGAGATTTCATGTGAGCCGGACTGCAATTTTGTGAGGGTAGTGATTAACGTACCTTGTTGTAGCGATACTTCCCTTTGGAATCATAGAGCTCAATCACATCAAGCTCCTTCCGGCGTACGAGATAGTAATCCGCTATCATAATGCCAGCAAATGGTCCAAGGATGATTGCATAACCCGACATGAAGCTCAGTAGACTCCCGGCCGCCTTGTTTATCTTCCAGGGCACGAGCCCCCAAGCCCCGACCAGGGAAGCGAAAACCACGCCGCGACGAATATTGAACCACTTGGGGAACATAGTCGTCATGTCATTGGCAAAGCTGATTGAGTTGGCAGATATGTTGGTGCACACCTGGGCGATCAGCCAAATGACGGCGCAGAAAAAAGCGAGAAATCGACCGCCGGGCGTTGTTCCCCATGATGACACAATCTTTAACGGATCCCATACGTACTGGCCATATATATGGATGGATGCGCCTGTGCAGATGATACCGAAGAGCGAAACAAACACTTTGAGGAACGGAATCAGGGGCAGTTGGATCCATTGTGCTCCCGGACTCTTGGAAAATCGCGAAAAGTCGGGGATGTTGACGGCGATTGTCGAGTATCCCCCAGTGACAGATGTCAAAGTACCGAGCCACAGCCAGACTCTGTCGGCCCCGAAGACAGTCGGCTGCACTTGAAAGATTTCAATTGAACCTCCGGCTCGCAAGCAGGTCCAGATTGTCATACCCAACACCATTGGCGGCACTAGAATGGCTTTGGCGAGGAAGAGCCATTGCAGCTTGTGAGTAGGTATGAGGAGCAACGGGAATTGAAAAATGTTATATATGAGATAGCACACCATGGTCTTTGTCGTGATACCGGCACTTTCAGGTAGGCTATTAGGAAGTGATGCGAAACTGGGCCATATCGCAACGATAATTGCTTCAATGGAGGAACAGCCACTGTAGCCCTGCAAACTAAACCAGAACAAGGCTAGGATGCATCGGGAGACGACGGCGAAGTAGGAAAACCAGTACCCGAAACTTGAGCGAATAACAACAGGGAATGGGATATGATATTTTGCACCAATCGCCCCGTTGAGGACGGTAGGCACAGCGTTGCAGAACCCGGCCAGAAGAGCAATGAGAATCGCATCCGTTGTGCCGAGGCCGTTCAAGATGGTGCTGGAGGCGATCTGCCAACCCGTCACATTAAAGAGGTCACTGAACCAGTATCCGGCAAAGGACCAAGCTGTCCATGTCTGCTTTTCCGGAGGAACTGGGTCTTGGTCTGGAAGATGGTAAGCATGGAGTGAGCCCTGGACCTTGCGGCACACTTACCTGCGTTTGTCCATATATAGTCCGGGGCAAGAGAGCTCGTGTTTTTAGGTAACTTCCATGCCTCTAGAGATGTGCTCTTTGCCTTGACTTCTCGCGCCGCAGTATGTAGGCGCTCCCGTGCGAAGTTCATGATATTAATGATGGAAGAGAGGTCAGTGCCAATGTCACTGTTGGGATCAACATTGTATTCTAATTTGCGAGTTAATTGTTCCTTATTTGTAGATCCAATCTTGCCGTCCGTCATTTTCCCTGGAAAACTAAGACACTGGTTATCTTCGGCTAAGGGTTGATTGGCTGTAGATATGAAAATGGAATGGATATTGATCATTGTATGACTCGGCCGAGTTACACACGAGCGACTGGGGCTTGGAAACAGGAAATTCCCAAGCGCCACGGTTGGTTTGCTAGGTTCTATTCTCTACGTTTGACGAAGCAGTAAAAGAGGGAAATGATTACCATCGCGGTTGAAATTGAGCAGTGAAGAATGTGATTCGTTGTGATTCGTTAGATATTATTATACTAAAGATAACAAACCAAATTTGGATCCACGAGATTAGCTATTGACAGAAAAGTCGAGAAATTCATCAAAAGTTAGGTTGAAGATTCCCATAGTCTCCGAATCATCTTCCTGCATTGTGTTCTCAACCTCCCGGACCAAAGCAGTGATCTCATCGCTGGTAAAGGATACTCCGAGTGACCTCTCTTCATGCTTAGTTTCCAATAACCGTCTGATTACAATGCTTCCTCGTTTGACCATCTGGTTAAATGGCCCTGATGTTTCTATTTGTTGTAAAGCTTGAAGAATTGTCTCCCGGTCCTCAAAGTGCGATTTGGACACATGAGGATCAAATCCGTCATTGCAACCGGAGAGGAAGAGATTCAAAGACAAAAATATACAGGAGCTTAGGAGATTTGCAGGGATGGTCCAGCTTTCTACTAGCCCACAGCCTACTGTATCTAGATACGTCTTTAGCAGCATGTGTGAAGCACTCAGACATGCCATCCGAGAGTAGCAGTACTTTTTGTCGCTGAAGGATAAGCAAAAGAAAGTACGATGGATTGACATGATCATGTGAGCATACGAGATGCGAAATGTGCGCCATTGAGATTGGACGAAAATTGGTGCCTGTGTAGGGAGACTCTCTGACTTCATCCAAGACGGTAGATCTCTTCGAAGTGACATCATCTTTTCATCAGTTTTCAGTACCATGTTGAACTGTTGCTCAGGGGAGATGTTGGCACAGCAGGATATTTCGTCAAACAAATCTCGTTTAAGATTTGTAAGCTTCAATTGCAGGAGCATGTAGCTTGTCTGCGTCGGTTGTGAGGCTGGCAGTGCCTTAAACTGGCCGCTCACGACCAGATCGTCCAGAGATTCACAGCAGTTTAGCGGAGGAGGTGTTTGAGAGTGGTTTAGCTGAATACTGTATGTATGCTTAAACGAAACGAGATAAGAGTCCTGGATCACAAGAAACGCCCAAACTCGTTTCTTGATTTCGTGTTGCATGATGTATTCGGCCGTCTGTTCCCCAGGTGATTGCTCTTCTAGATTGTGTAACTGCATGAGCTGAGCAATACAGCAGGCAGACGACAGTAACGTGATCATTCTGCCCGTATCTCTTCACATGGATTATTAGCACCACAGTTTTTAACTATGCTAATGATTGATGTTCTCACCCAAACGCATATCCACATGGCACAAACATACAAACTGCTTGGAGGGCGTGAACTAAGAATAGGTTGGAGGTTAATTCTTTAATGATCATGCAAGTAGGTTGGCGGTGGGACTGTAGGGGGACTTACGAGAAGGATTGGCCATGAAGTCTATCTCCTGCAATGAGTTCAGTGCCTTCCTGTAAAAGAATTTTGCCAAAGATAAGGCATCATCAATGTTATGTCGTTGCTCGATATCTCTGGTCATGTAGTAGAATCCTGCCTGGACAGCCGAATTAGTATGGTTTCGACACGGAGACGGAAAGACAAAAGAGGATCTGTTGCTCACGCTCATGGTGGCATAGTACAGCGCACACCAAGATCCTGGAGGGGGCTCCTGCTCCCATTGCACCTCGGAACACTCTCGTTCGAAAGTGTCTATATGAACAACATTATGCATCCATGCCACATGCTCACGGTGCAGATTAATGATGATCTGCTCATGGTAAGCTCGGACGAAATCTGTTTCCATAGAGACCCAAACGCTTCCAAACGATCGTGCTGTCTTTGTTCCAACAGCTTGATGGCTGCCCCATACGACTGACTCAAGTGAGAGTGCCGCTTCTGTGGACACTCTTTGTGGTGGTTGTATATGATCACGCCGAACCGGAAAATCGGGCGGGATTTCCTCGCTTTGGCTACAGCATGGGGCATCATCGTTGCTCGGCAGAGGAGAGTTGATCGGCCTAACATTTTGGATTGAACGGCGGCCCTCATTTTCGGGACTGGGTCCAAACACGCTCTGGTCGAGTGTGATCGGGTGAGTTTGATCTGGCGAGCCCAAGGAAAGGTGGCCTGGTGATAAGGATGATGGGGAGCATAGGACACTGGGCTCAGAGACCCGGCGTCGTCTTCTTGGTTTCCGCACCGTCGGGTTTGCTTGCTTGGACAGCACAACTGTTTCTCGGCTGCACTCTTCAGCTGCGCCCCGAGCAATGCATGCCGCGCAAGGGATTTGCTTGGAGCATTTGACTTTGCGGCGCGTGCATTGCTTGCAGGAGGCGGGGGCTCTTTGGGATATCCGGTTTCTGCCTGTCATTGCTTGATCTGTGGACAGAGAGTCAACACCCCGAGCAATCGTTGAGGGAGAAACTCGGACGAGTCAGAAGATGAGGAATGGATGAGTCTTATCCGCCGGGGAGATGTCTTATCTCTCTGTGGGCCGCCCTTGGTGCTCAACCCGGCCGAGTTTAGCCCAGCAAACTCACCCGGCTCCATGTTTGGGCCTATCTCGGCAAGCGTCATGAAAGATCAAGGGAGGGAAGTCCCAATGGATTTAACCTATAAGAATGCGTTGAATCGGGCACTAGCAACGGTATCTTTCGATTCCCAGCCCACCAGCAAAGCATCCACGAATCCGAGATTGACGATATCACCGAGAAGATGGCAGACGAGGTCTTTCCAATCATTGATTTATCTCAAGACGATAACTGGCCAGATTCAAAGGGTCCCGAGATCGTCGAAGCCTGCAAGAAATGGGGTTTCATGATATTGACAGGCCATGGGATTCCTAAGGACACCATTGACTCTATGTTTGAGATGGTGAGCACTCCTGTCTATAAACACATTCATTTTCTAAAAATATTAACAATCAAACCAGCATCAAGGCTTCTGTATGCTTCCAGAAAAGAAAAAGCTCCGGTGCGTTATCGACGAACGCCAAATTGGCTACGATTTGAAGCGCTCTAAGTACGATTCGGTGATATACCACACCCACAGGAAATCCAATCAACTGACTCTGCATTAGAATCGGCATGAACGAATGCATGGTATTTGGTGGTGTTAAGGGCGATATTGTTCAGGGAGACAATATACATCCCTGGTGGGACGCCGAGAAACGAGCCAAAGTGGAGGAATTTAAGGAGATGGCTCACAACCTCGGCCTTGAACTGCTTAAAGTGTTTGCTACGTCTTTTGGGCTCGATCCAGAATATTTCACCTCTGCTCACAATATGAACCAAGGCCCAGGAAGCGTGCTCCGGATGCTACACTATCCAAAGCTAGGTGAGAAGCCCAAGGAAGATTTTCCACGCCTCTATTCGCATACGGACTGGGGATCTTTGACGTTCGTATGGCCTCGTTCTGGAGGACTGGAAGTCGAGACCCCGTCGAAGAGATGGCTTGAGGTTCCATTGATCCCTGACTCCATCGTGGTCAATGTCGGTGATGCCATGTCTTTGTGGAGTGGACAGGCTCTGAAGTCTACACTGCACAAAATCTCGTTCGACAACCTTCCAATTGGCCAGACCAGATGGTCTATGGCCTACTTTGTTAATGCAAATACTCGTACGTTCGAATTATGCTACTTCAGGTCGGGATAGGTCTAACAAACCGAGCTAGATGCCAAGTTGGAAATCCTGAAGCGAGAGGAGGATGGCAGACTCACACTCTCATCTGACCAGGACACGGTCCTCACGGCTGGTGAATACCACCAGGCCAGACTGTACATGTCGCAAAAGGAAGATGCAAAGAATAATTGGATTGGGCAGTCAGATCTGTCTATGTTAAACACAGCTCATAAGCTTGCTTCTGTCGTTGAAAAGCTGGGTGTTGCAAATGGGTCTGGCCTGGTAAACTTCTCTCGATCTTGAGGTTCTACAGCTTCCTCCTAGAGGTTCTATCTTGTGTTTTAAGCCCTTCTAGGCACTATCTATTTAAAAAGAGAAGAAAAAAAAGACAGCTTTAGACTCCTACAGCACTTCTCTCTCTCCGCACCAGCTAATAATATAGTCTGCATTGGACATAATGCTATCATATATAACTATACCTGTTTAAAAGTATATAATCCTATTAAGAACTTATTAAGAATCTATAGATCCTATTAGACTATTTAAAATAGTTCTCTTTTAATATAACTCTCTCCTTTAATTAGAGCTTTCTATATAGTATAGAGCTTTTATATTTAATCTTAGTATCTAGTAAATAGAGATAGTCTATAATTATATTCCCTTATATTAAATAAATATAATCTATATACTCTAAACTAATAGAGGTTTAGAGTAATTAATATACTAATAATAAATTAGAATTATTATAATTATATATATAAGATAGTTATATATTAATCTCTTATTAGTATTTATATAGTATTAATACTATATACTTAGGATATATCTCTAATTAGAATTAATTATATATATATAACTTACTATTATTCTTTCTAATCTATATATTCTTTTTAACTCTCTTTCTAACTTATATATATTTAACCTACTATTCTTTTTAACCTATATACTCTATCTAGCTAGCTATCTTTAGCTTAATTAGATTTTCCAGATTTAGCTATTTTTAAAAGTTAGAATATAAAGTATATATAGATATCCTAGGATATAGCTTAGAAAGGATTTTACTCTACCTAAAGAAATTAAGTAATAGTATATTAGTAATTAGATAGTAAGGGAACCTAGAGTAATATACTATAAGGATATATATTATATAATTAGTATATATACTTAAGTAAAGATATATTAACCTAGAATAGAATACTCTCTAGGAAGATAGCTAATTATTATTAGCCTATAGTAACTACCTTATATTAAATTAAAGACTAGGCTTAGCTCTATTAGGAGAACTCTTTTAGGTATAATAAACTTTATTTATTTATTTATCTACCTTTTATATAGATTAAAATATACTATTCTTTAACTTAATAATTAATATTAACTAGAGTATATATTAATTAAGTAAAATATATTTTTAATATATAGCCTAAAAGTATATAGATCTTAGTTAGATACTATCTAAGAATTAGCTAAAGCCTTTATAGTATAATACCTTTTAGCTTTAATAGAAAAGAGATAAAGATATACTTTTATTTAGTAGAAAATATAATTTAGAGCTTTAAAATAACTATATATATATATATCTAATTAGAGAAAATCTACTTATAAAATATAGTAAATTTTCCAGATTAAAATTAAAAGCTTATTATAATATATTATAGCTCTACTATGATAATAGTAGAATAACTTCTCTCTAATACTACTACTTCTTATACTACCTCCTAAGCCTTTACTTTAGCTTCTACCTCCTTCTTAAGTAACTTTCTATATATATTAATATTTAAATAGATATAATTATAAAAAGCAGACTAGTATATATCTCTTACCTACTTATATAAGACCTAAAGTCTATATATAACTTTATATATCCCCTTAATAGTATCTATAGTACTTAAATCTAGTTTATTCTAGAAAATTATCTTCTTACCCTCTTATATTATAATAATAAGAAACTAGTTATACTTTTAAATAATAATCCCTAGGATATAATCTAAAGCTTTATTAGGTTAAGTACTAGGTACTATTATCTTATAGATAAGATTCTATTATACTACTTATAATATACTTATTTATAATATTACTTTATTTTAGTTTTTACTAAACTTCTTAGTTTTAATACTTATAGTAAGTAGTCTTTTAACTAGAGGTATATAGTCTATATAGTTAATAGATTTATTAACTATTTAGTTATATATACTAGATATAAGAGTACTAGAGTTAGTATATTTCTAGTTATAAGCTAGATTAATATATATATAGAAATTAATCTTCTTAATAATTTTAAAAAATAGAAAATACTTAGAAAGAATAGAGGTAGTTAAACTAAAAGAGATTATAAGTTTATATTAATATATATAAAGAGAAGAAGGGAACTTACTAGAGTATATAGCTAACTATTTATCTAAATATTAAGCTACTAGGTTCTTTTAAAGTAAGTTAGAATGTGCTCACATGGCGCGCATCAACGGGTACCTACACTGGATCCGAGCGGCAGATACGGACATGTGCGGCTGTAGGCAGGCACACGAGACGATAGAACATTTTCTATTTCGATGCACCAGATGGGATACACAGCGTGAAAGCATGCGACAAGCAGCACAATTGAAGATGGGCAACCTCTCCTTCGTGGGAGGAAAAGCAATGTTGCACGGCCTAAAATGGGCGCCTAACCTACGGGCGGTGCGGGCGGCGATTCGGTTCGCCTTGGAGATAAAGAGACTGGACACCAATTGGGCAGGGTGACATTCTAACCAATAGCACACCATATGAACACTTGGAGAAAGTAGCTTTCAGGGCGGCCTGTCACAGAGTTAAGTGAGGCGACAATCAGCGGACGACGAATGTGGGGTTTATGGGAGATCGGACAAAGCTGTAGAAGTGGTATGTAGCTAAACAAACCTGGCCCTATAAGGTAAACTCTCCTGGGCATAATAAACTTCATCATGATTGTCTTTCTACCTTGGATACTGCTATACTACGGCCTCTGCATTTGCAATACAGTATAGGGAAAAAAACCCAGCGACACTGGGGAAAGAAAAACCTATACTGAGATATATAAGATTCCACTAACATCCGTATCCGTATTCTCCTCCACATATATCAAGTCAATTAAATCCGTCGGGAGGTTCATAGCCGCCGAAAAGAACCTTGTTCACATCTCGTCATCCGCCGCCTTGGATTTTTTCGGAGCACACTTATAGCCCCCATGCCAACTGCAGTAGCCGGAGCAGCAGCTGGAGTTGAATTTGCACTCTTTCCTACGCTTAGTATGATGAGACAATCATCGGGGGGGGGGGGTCCACGTACTGGTGCCATCAGGTCGACAAGTAGGCCATGCCGGAGTGTCGTTCTCGCCGCCTCCGAACACGTTGATAACAACCCGACCGTCATTGACAGGCGCAGGGTCTTGCTCGGGAACCTCGATAGCGATCATGCTCGGTGCTCCAAGCGCGGCAGTGACGAGCGCCAAAAGGAATGCAGACTTATTGAAGATCATGATCAAAGTACGTGTGGCGTGACGAAGGTAAAATAAATATCCGTTGAAGATGAACCTGCTTAATTGTGAGAGCGAACGAAATTTAGGTTCTGGATTGAGGTTTATATAGTTGAACAACGATCGGTGAGTTGCGAGACGCTTCGAGTCTATGTTGAGTTCCTCAGCTGTCTTAAAGCCAACAGGTGGTGTGATCCTTTCCATCTTGGTCTTGCACTGCTTCCGGCATGTCACTATGATAGACTGGTGCTTCGTATGCATGTAGGCGCGGTGGATTGTGGAGAACGCCTATCGCTTCCAACTTGTCCTTTGCATTGCAATTCGGAATGTGATAAAGGAATGATACTTTGTTAATTAGGTATGGATAGCTGAAAGCGGGCTATCATTATTATTATTATTTATTACGCCCAAAAGAACGGATCTGATAGGGCCGGTGGTTACGCTAAGCTACCTATGCTTCCCTATGATTCGTCCAAACCACCCAACAGAGCCCCACTCTTGTTAGCCCCATTCTTTCCAGCCTCGCTAGTTGACCCTGCTTGACAGGCCTGCTTGAAGGCCAACTTCTCCAAGTGGGACAAAGCGGGCCAGGGATATGGTAGGCAAGCGGGTAACGCAAGACATTGCACACCAAACAGTGCTTTGATCTCCCCTTTAACTAAACCCCTCACCTTCAGAGCCTAATAAACAGATAATAAATATATAATATACCCCTATTAAAGAATAGTATTAAGTATTTAGACCTCTGAGAATTCTTCTATAAGTTTTATTTGCTATTTTAATAAATTTTAGCTGGTAAATAATGAGTTGAAAACAGCTGTAATTTGCATATACAATGTCTTCTGTCACCCGCTTGGTAGGCTATAACAGGATGCGAGGGCGGCGCTTATCATTTCCTATTTGATCGCGTTAGTAATAGTCTGGGTAATCTTGCTAGCTGAGAGCTAGTTCCGGAGCGGCTGAACATTCCGCTGTTCAGAGAGTTGACGGATGCCCTTCAGCTTCAGTGAGAGTCATGCGCAGGTCCAGGTGAAGCCCCGAACCCAGAGTAGGACAATTCTTGTGGGGTGCCACAAGGGCACCTAGCAACGCGGACGCTGGGACGGCCACATCTCGGATCAGTAGAGCGGTCGCTCGGACCTTTGACGTGCTTGTCAAGATATCGTATAAGACGTGGCGGCCGAGCAGTCCGTTGTGGATACATCGGGCTGTTATCTTACTTGGCTCAGCTGCCTTTGTGCCGGTAGTACGGGTGATCTTTTCTTGTCCTGGTCTTACAACACCTTCGTCATAAAGTTCTGGCAGGCAACACTAGCCGCTGCGGAGTCGGTAGAAGGCTTTCTGAAATGTGATTTCAGCTGCCAGCAAGCTGCAGTTCTTTTCCACAATGGGGCCGTGACAATGATAGACTCGGGCCCATTCAGCTGCGTTTATTGCTTATGGAATGCAAGATCTTTCCCCATTTCGAGATTGCAGTACTTAGATCCGCGTCTTATCCCATGGCGCGCACAGCCACCTGATACTGTCTTGATAACTTGACTTGATGCTAGTGGGCCCTGTCGGGTCTCAATGGACATACTTAGCCGATCCATATGACGGGCCGACGGTAATCACATGGGTCCACGGACGTAAGCATACGACGTTGGGCCCACCGATGGACGTAAACGTGGCCAAATTGGGAGAGCTCAAGAAGCTAGCTGAACCAGTAGGTTAGCTGCGAGGCCGCGGAGGGTTGTACTGCCTTTACAATGGGGAAATTCTATTGGAAAATCTTACGCACCAGGATGCTCGATCTTCGGGCTATTTTCGCTTACATGCGGGTGAACGCTACGATCGGATCATTGAAATAAATCACATTCCCGAAGTTTTTCGGGCATCATTGATAGCAACCACCTTATCATTGGGCGGCACTATAAAGTCATGTACCGTGCTATAATAGTGGGCAAGGCGGCTCGGACCGTGGGAGGTGGCAATGTTCTCATATGGAGCCGACGCTGGAGGGGTTGTTGCCGTATGTTGTGCAGAGTCTACTATCTCCTATTCGTTTACAGCAATAATACGCGTAATCGGTCTGACTAAGTGCCCGCAGTTCCAAGAGTGTGCAGGATGATATTAGGCTGCAATATTGGGCTTCCCACAAGCTTCTCGCCGGTCCCATCAGGTATCCTTGCTTCGTAATACCGGCAACACACTAGTATAACTAGATAACGCCATATATGCTCTGAGCCATCTCTTAGAGTAAATTATTCGTCTCTAATGCTCGATGATTCTTTTATACAGACAGCTGCTGTCGACAGCTATTTTATCTGCAATGAAATATCTTATTAAGCAATTTCTTATAATAACTTTATATATATTTTGATCAAGCTTATAGATACAGTCTTTAATACTTATAATATCAGAATTTTTAGAGTTAAGTTATTAGTCTTACTATAGTCTATATAGATATATAACTACTTAGCAGATCTACTTAATTCCTTAGTACTAGAGCTAGGTAAGAAGAACTCGGAAGATTAGTTAAGCTAATTTAGAGTAATTTATTACAGTAGAGCTAGACTAGAGGTTCAGAGATTAGTAGGTATTTAGAACCCTTAGGATTAAGTCTCCTATAGGGTAGAAGCAGAAGATAGGATATAGTAGGAAAACAGTATAGTTAAGGGAGATAATATAATTAATACAGCTGATTATAAAGAGATATCAGGAGTAGTATTATTATTATAGCTTATTAGTTAAGGCTTTAGAGTATTATAGATATATATATATATATTAAATAGTTTTAAATATATACTCTAATACTCAGATTAGAATAATAGTACTATTATCTAATATTATATAATATATTCCTATTACCTAATAGTAAATATTATCTAAGAAATTATTAGTTATAAAGAAGTCTCTTTTAAAGAAATAAATATTAGAGTAATATTAAACTAAATAGTAATAGATATATATTATTATCTTAGCTTTAGATAAATATATAACTATAAGAAATATTAATCTACTAATAATATATAATTAGTATTTAGCTAATTATATATAATAATTAATCTCTTATTAAGATCTTTATTTCTCTAGTACTACTATATATATATCTAGTAGAAGAGAAGAATTACTATAGCTCTATTAGCTCTTAAGCTAGCTATTCCTTCTATAATACTTAAAAATTAATATAAATAAAGTTAAAATTCTTATTAGCTATATATAAGTAAACTAATACTATTAGTAAGATCTATTCTTATTTAAAATTCTATTATTTATAATTTAAAGTATATTCTAAGTATTAATAATAATTAAAGTCTTATAAGATATAGATATTTCTAATACTAAGGTTAACTAAAAGTTATATATTTATTCTAAATTACTTTAAAATAGCTTCTATAGTTCTTTCTATACTAGTAGTATTAATAAAGAGTATTATTCTCTTATTAAATTTATATTTAGAGTTATTATAATTAAACTATATATAATATACTAGAACTAGAGAAAGTAACTCTAATTATTATATATCTCTAGTATTTAAGAGAAATTATCTAGCTCTTTTTTAAATATCTTTTAAAAAACTAAATTAATTTCTAAATCCTTATAAATTATATAATATAGTTTATATTTAAATATCTATAGCTTCTAAACTTATATAAATATAAATAGTTTTATAATAATAAGAAAGCTAATTATAAAGTATAAGCTAAAATATTATATATTATATATAAGGCTTTAAAAGTTTTTATTAATTATCTTCTTTATATATATAAAGACTAGATTAAGTATTAATATAAGCTTCTAGCTACTAGGGATAAAAATATTTATAAAAACTATTATTATAATAACTAGTAGTTATATATAGATATAGTTAGTAATAATTAGTAATTATAAGAAAAGATAGTTAATAATTAGTAATAATAAGCTTATTTATTTACTTACTTTAAAAGGTTTTATAATTAATTATAGATAATAAATATTTCTTCTTAGAGCTTATAGCTAAGTTATATTATAAATAAAGGCCTCTATTAGACTATATAAAGTTATATATAGTATAGAGCCTTATAGAGGCT